GGGGGGGGGGGGGGGGGGGGGCGCTAGGGCAGTTCGGCGGCGGAGGTGGAAGCGGCGCTGGAGCTCCGGGAGCCGAGGCGTGATCGGCGGTGAGCTGGAGCGGGACTCCCGCGGCTGCCGCTCCAGGTACTTGGCCTGCCTGGGGCACAGGGGCCGCTCTCTCCGGGAGGTTCTGGCTCCCGACGTGCAGGTTCGATCCCGGCCCGCCACTCCCAGCTCGCTTTTCTCTGCTCCGTCCAATCGCAGCCCACCCTTTCAATGGGGACGCGGTCCCGTAAGCTGTGCCCGCTCAGCCGCGGCGCGGCACCGCCCCCCTTCCCCACGTTCCCCTCAGGCGCTGCAGGTGCCGGCGCCTTTGCTTCCGGAGCCGCGCCTGCCCTGCCGCAGCCCCCGACAGGCCATGTTGGGACCAGGGAGGGCGGGTGTCACAGCTCCGCGCTCACGTCCCGTCCGGGAGTTCTTCCGGGAGGCGGGGAGGGGGCGGGAGCGGCGGCGGCCCTTTCAATGGGGCCGCGGTCGAGCAAGCTCTGCCCGCTCAGCCGCGGCGCGGAGCCGCCCCCTTCTCCACCTCGGCCCCCGCGTTCCCCTCAGGCGCCGGTCTCGGCGCTTTTGCTTCGGGATCCGGTGGAGCCGCGCCTGCGCTGCCGCGGTGCCCGCAGGCGCTGTTGAAAGGGCGGGTGGGAGGTCCGCGGTCCCGTCCCGTCCGGGAGTTCTCCCGGGAGAAGGGGAGGGAGGCGGGGAGCAGGCGGAAGCGGAGCAGCCCGTGGGAGCGGGGCATGAGGGGACAGCGGGATTCTTGGGGACGGGCAGGGCGGGAACGGGCGGGCGGGGATTGGCGGGGCCGGACGCTGCCAGGGGCTGGGATTGGCTGGGCTGGCCCGGGGGGGCGGGACTGTGCGGGCCGCGGGCTATAAATGGGGTGGGCGGGGGGCTCCCGGGGCAGTTCGGCGGCGGGGCTGGGGGCGGCGCGGGAGCTGCGGGAGCCGGCGCGGGATCGGCGCGACCGCTGGGCCGAGGAGCGGCGGTGAGCCAGGGTGGGACCCTCGCGGCTGCCGCTCCAGGGAGCGGTGGGGAGCCAGGGGGCAGCACCCCC